AGAGGGAGAAGCAGACTCCCTGCCGAGCAGGGAGCCTGATGCGGGACTCGATCCCGGGACTCCAGGATCATGACCTGAGCCGAAGGCAGTCGCTTAACCAACTGAGCCACCCAGTCGCCCTGATTTTTTTAAAATATTACATTAGAATATAATCTGATTGCATGATAATATTTATCTGATTACTAAGATTTTTGGCAATTTTGGGCTCATTGGAATGCCTCACTCCCCTCACCCTGGTCCCAGCCCTGCCTACAAATCCGGACTGAATTTTATAAACACACTGTGTTGGTAAGGAGAGAATGAGCTCTCCTTACTCCTGTGGTTGGTTCTTTTGGGTTTTAGCTATTATTGACCCACAAGGTACTCTACTTGGGGAACTGTTTAGAGACAAATTCTGCCTAGACTAGGAGAAGGAGCATGAGAAGGATCTCAATCAAGTGGGTCTTTAGATCCTATAGGGGTGGGGAAAAGTGAGGTGTGGTGGTCCTGCTCTCCACCCTGTGTTTAAACAACTGGACAGACACTGCAGGCTCCAATTAGAACCCAGGAAATGAAGTCTCTAAACATTTATGATCTCAGTGGCTCCGCACAGACCAGGAGGTAAAAAGAGCCATTTAAACATAATTGATAAGAAGGAAGAAGATAAACAGTCCGCATCCAGTAAACTCCCAACTTTTTAATCATTTTGTCAGTTAAATCTTAAACTCACATTTCCTCCTCTTGTTCAAAGAAAATGTTACCCAATTTGAGTTACTCTATAACTCTTGTCCTCTTTCAGCCACGAGTTGAACGGTTTATGAGTTCATATTGAGTGAACGTTTGCCCAAGGGTCAGGTATCTAGCTGGCCACATGTTGTCTTAAGTCTAAGCCACCATGGGCCAGACTTGCAGATTCAGGCCCTATGTTCCTGCAGGTTGCGCCCAGGGTCTGGTCTGGTCTTCCTTTTGGAAGGGAAAGACTTAACTGTTAACAGGCTAGGCAGCTGAGGCCTGAGGGTGTTTAAATAACTCACACACGGGAACACTTGGGTGGCTCAGTTGGTTGAGCGTCTGCCTTCGGCTCGGGTTGTGGTCCCGGTGTCCTGGGATCGAGTCCCGCATCGGGCTCCTTGCTCAGCGGGGAGCCTGCTTCTCCCTCTCCCACTCCCCCTGCTTGTGCTCTCTCTGTCTTTGACAAATAAATAAAATCTTTAAATAAATAAATAAATAAATAAATAGCTCAAACACGGCCTGCGTATCAGTCAGTTCTGCAGATCCCTATTTGCTGACTCTCTACACAATAGAGGGCATGGATGTTCCTGAGTCTACAGAAAGCTCAGGGGGCACCTGGGCCAGGTTCCCAATTACACCCTTCCTTGTCCCTCTCTATCTCTGGCATATTCTCTCAGATTCTTTTTTTTTTTTTAAAGAATTTATTTATTTATTTGACCGAGAGAGAGACACAGCGAGAGAGGGAACACAAGCAGAGGGAGCGGGAGAAGGAGAAGCAGGCTTCCTGCTGAGCAGGGAGCCCGACGCGGGGCTTGATCCCAGGACCCTGGGATCGTGACCTGAGCTGAAGGCAGATGCTTAATGACTGAGCCACCCAGGTGCCCCTCTTCTGCCCAATTTTTAATAGCATTATTTGTTTTTTGGGTGTTGAGTTTTATAAATTCTTTATAGATTTTGGATATATGTTCTTTCAGATTCTTAACCATTTTGGTTGCACAAAATCAAAAAGCCCAGAAATCTTATTACTTCATAACCACTCGGATAGCTATAAAAAATAAAAAAAGAAAATAACAAGTATTGGTGGGGTTGTGGAGAAATTGGAACCCCCATACATTTTTGGTGGCAATGTAAAATGGTGCAACCACTGTGGAAAACAGTTTGGCAGTTCCTCAAAAAGTTAATCATAGAACTACCATATGACCCACCAGTTCCATTCCTAGTTAAATACCTAAGAAAACTGACAAGTTTCCCAAAGAAACACATCTACTTGCATGTTCATAGCAGCAGCATTCACAATAGCCAAAACGTGGAAACAATGGAAATTAATGGATGGATGTGACGCAGGCTGGTTGGGTCTGAGGACCAGGGGCGGGGTCGGGGGGGAGTCCCGCAAGACAAAACAGGAGGGTCCTTGGCTTTGCACAGGATAGAAATAAAACACAAGCCAACAGGAAATGAGAGCAAAGTTTATTAAAGATATAGAGAGAGTGTAGGTATGGACAGAGTGTCTGGGAGACTCAGAAAGGAAAGAAGAGTGAGTCTCATTGTTGCTGGGGGCCTGGGGTTTTTATTGAGGCTGATGGTTTGGTGCACAGTGTCTTCTCAGTAATCCAGGAGCAAAGATGAGTGTTTAGGTGTTCTCCATAAGTCACTTATGCCCTGGAACCAGGGGTCTTGATGAATTAGTGGTCTTGGAAAACATTCATGATGACCTGCCCAGTCATTCCTTAGGTGTCATCTATTGTGCTGGAAGACTCCAAAGGAATCATTAACTCCTTGACCTTTACAAGGAGAACAGACATTATCTGTTCTATAAGGCGTATGTAAGATGCGGTGTCAGTGCTAGTGAGAACAGAAGCAGGAAAAGGGGCTAAGAAGCAGTTTTTCATGGAGTCCCTTTAGTTTCCCTGTCTCAAATGGATAAACAATTGTGGTATATATGGTAAAAAATTGATGTGACTGGAGTTGTTTGAAAATAGAGCTGGAGCATTTTTTCATGTGTCTACAAGCCATTTATTTGTGTGTCTTCTTTGGAGAAATGTCTGTTCATGCCTTCTGCCCATTTCTTGACTGGATTATTTGTTTTTTTGGGTGTTGAGTTTCATAAGTTCTTTATAGATTTTGTACTACTAGGTATTTACCCAAAAGATACAAATGTAATGATCCGAAGGGGCACCTGCACCACAATGTTTATAGCAGCAATCTCCACAATAGCCAAACTATGGAAAGAGCCCAGATGTCCATTGACAGATGAATGGATAAAGAAGATGTGATATATATACACAATGGAATATTACTCAGCCATGAAAAAATGAAATCTTACCATTTGCAGCAATGTGGATGGGACTAGAGGTTATTATGCTAAGCAAAATAAGTTAAGCAGAGAAAGCCAATTATCATATGATTTCACTCATATGTGGAATTTAAGAAACAAAACAGAGGATCATCGGGGAAGGGAGGGAAAAATAAAATAAGAGGAAATCAGGGGCGCCTAGGTGGCTCAGTCAGTTGAGCGTCTGCCTTC